ACACACACATGTACACATGCACACACATACTTGCAGGCACCCAAACAGTGGCTGAAAGCTCCCTTTTGAGGAAATTAAAAGGTGAAAAAGGAATTCGTGAATTGAGAAAATTATAAGAATATTAGTTATGATAATTACCTTATTAAATTTTTGTGATTTTTTTTACCTTACTTAGTCTTTTATTATTAACATTTTAACTCTTTTTTCTTTTTAAATCTTTTTAAATTAAATTTTGGGATGGCATTGGTCTATAAAATTATATGTTGCTAATAATGCAATTAATTCTATGACACATCATTTGAGTATCACATTGTGTGCTTATCATCCAAAGTCAAATCTTGTTCCTTCCCTATTTTTTTGATCACCCTTATCATTTACTATCCACCATTTTCCTTTGGTGACCATCATAATGTTGTCTGTGTCTGTGGGGATGTTTTTGTTTGTTTTATCTTTATTGTTGAAAATAGTACAGATTTTCTATTTTATTTCCCCATTGACCACCTCCACCTTGCTCCTGGTCCCCAAAACCCACCAGATTCCCAGGCCCTCAATGCACTATTGTCTCTGTCCATGGGTTATGCATATATGCATTTTATGCATACAATTCTTTGGTTAATCTTTTCCCTTTGGAGATTCCTTAGTCTGTTATATGCTTTCATGTCTCTCTGGGGTGTTTTTTGTTTGTTTGTTTTTTCTTATTTAATCATTTGTTGCTTTCAGTTTTATATGCTATGTATGAGTGAAACCATATGGTTCTTGACTTTTTCTATTGGACTTATTTTTATCAGCATGCTATCCTCAAGAGCCATCCATGTTGTCACAAATGGCAGTATTTCATCTCCTCAAGAAGACATATAAATGGCCTCACATATTTGAAAAGATGCTCAACTTCACCAGCTCTTAGGGAAATGCAAATAAAAACTATAATGAGATACCACCTCACACCTGTTAGAATGGCTATTATCAACAAGACTAGTAATAACAAGTGTTGGAGAGGTTGGGGAGAAAAAGGAACCCTCATTCAATGCTGGTGGAAATGTAAACTGACACAGCCACTATGGAAAACAATATGGAACTTCCTTGGAAAATTAATAATACAGTTTTCAAATGAACCTACAAACCCTTTTATGGATACCTACCCTAAAATTTTGAAAATATTTATTTCCAAGCATATATGCACTCCTGTGTTCATTGCAGCATTTTTCATGGTGACCAAAACAAAGAAGCAAGCCATTTGTCCTTCCATACATGATTGGCTAAAGAAGAAGTGTACCTATATACAATGGAATCCTACTCAACCACAAGGAAGATTTTAACTTTAATAAGAGCTCTGTCTGTGGCTAAATATATAGTCAACTAGTGGACTGGTGCACGAATTCATGCACATTGAAAGAACATTAATTAGAAGAAATATTTTAATATCGCTATTCACCCTTTCTCTATAATAGAAGTGTCAACTAAATTCATGACCCACAATGACAGATTGAAACACACACATGTGATTGGGCCCAGAGAGAGCTTTATATGTATCTGTGCATGTGTGAGTCAACTTAGCCTTTTATATATACGATAGACTTGCTTAATTAGACCTGCTTTCTAATTTAGCTAAACTTTTTCCAGCCCACTGAAGCACCCCAACTTCTCTTTCAGGTAATTGTCAGCAACACAGCAGTAATATCAACACAAAGCAGATTATTATTGTAGATCACACAGGGAGAACAAAGGATAAAATATTTAACTGCA